ATGTCTTGCAGTAACACTACCGGTGGAATATAAACTTAGACTTGTTGTTCATTGGAAAAGTAAAAAAAAAAAAAAAAAAAAAAAAAAAAACCGAGATCTTTCAAAGGCACAAGGATAGAAAATTTGCTCGTTGATTACTTTAACCAAAAAAAAAAAGGATGGATGAACCGAAACAATTTTTAAGAATGGTTCGAAACCATCTTTGTTCTTTAAGTGCATAAACATCTTAAATAAAAAAATCTGCCTGAAAAAAGCTGTGCTATAGATCGGCAATGCACCTTTAACATGCTTGAACATGCTTGTTGCTGGCTTGTTGAAGACTTTAGCCCGCTTGTTGCTGGGTTCACATTCGATTAGTTCAGCAATACGTGATTTGATAACTCAGCAACAAGCGTGCTAAAGTCTTCTGATGGACAAATTTTTGCAAAGTTTCTCCCCCCAAACATTACTGCGCTAATCCAACCCATGGAACAAGGAGTTATTGCAACAATGAAGAGAACATACTGAACCAAGCTGCTAATGACCAAAATTGAAGAAGGTTATAATCTGAAAGAGTTTTGGAAACACTACACAATCTTGGACAGCATCTACGATATTGCATCTGCATGGGACTCAGTCAAACCGTCAAACCTCATAACAGTTCCGGGTGGTGAGAACATCGATGCTGAAAACATTATAGAGTGGTTGGAGTGTGACGTCAACGAACCTGGCTTCGAACGCTTGACAGATGATGAAATTGTGAAGAAAGCAAGGGGTGAGACCGAGAATGAAGGACAGTGAAGTGAAGGCGAAGAAAAGCCCACTGTGCAGATGCGGAAGACTCACAAAGCGGCTTTGCAACAAGTTGACGGATTGCTGAGCTATTTGGAAGAACCAGACAATGCGGAGTTGGCCAAGAAACTTATGCTACGAAAAATGCTATATCGGATCCAGAGAAAATGCTTACAAAGCAAGAAGCAAACACAAATGACTGATTTCTTCAAAAAGGTGTAGTTTTACAGTTATGCTTTTGTAATTACATAATACATTACAGTATTAAAACAGTACTATGTATTAATTTTTCTGTGTATCCTTGATGCCTTTTGTAAGTATACAAAGCACTTTTCTGTTTTCAAAGTTGGATTCTAATAGCTCCTTCCTCTCTCTTGCTTGGCAAAAAGCCACAACTTAAGTACTTGGCGTTTGCAAGACAAATTTGCATAAATAAGTTAAAGCTTTTAATTCTGGCTGGAAGTAGAAAATAAGAAGTGATAGTAAAGATTTAAAATAAAATAAACGTTAGTAAAACTTAAGATCCTTACAATACTACCTACGTTCTTTTGCATTTAAGATGCAGTTGTAACTGACTGTAAAATATTTTCTGTTTTTCAGGAAATACCCTTTACTAATTGAAAGGGGTTAGTATTCTAGGGTTAAAACATCTAAAAAATGTGTGTGAGATAATCAAAAATATACTTTAAATGCAAATGATTCCTCAATTAATTGACTTTGATTTAGATATTCAAATTCACCGAAAGGGTAAAAATTTATGTGTACTGCATATAAATTTTGACTTGATAAATTAATGATTTCGATTTTAAATTATTAATAATACTCAAATATTACTCAATAACAGTCTTTTATACTGAAAGGGGATTGCTAAGGGGTTTATGAATTACTTGTTCCCCCTTAAAGAGATTACTTGCATTAAATTAAAATAAAATAAAGTTTGAAATTTGAATTCTATGGGATAGTTAATTGAGCAAATTGATACTTACATAATTAATCAGGCAAATCTTAATTAATCAAATAATTTCTGTTGCATTTGTAGCAGAAATTTGTGCATTATATGAGAGAACAAAATAATGCTATGAATAGTATGTATATAACATTGAGTCGTAAAGTTTATAAACAAATTTTATTTTATTTACAAGCAGTCTCTCAGAAGTGATAGTTTACTTAAAGCATGTTGCTATTTTATCAGTTCCATGTCTTAACATGAAATTGGCAGCAAATCTTGTGCTGGCCACTTTTTTTTTTTTTTTTTTTTTTTTTTTTTTTTTTTTTTTTTACCTAATTTTATTGTGCAGAACTCAAGGGGAAAATTATGCAAATAATTTATTTTCTGAAGGACACAGTTACAGTAAGAACATAACAAATGAAAAATATTTGTGGACAAGCTACAGTTAAACTATCACAATATTATTTCTTCAAAAGAAACCTACATTCAGTTAACAAAGCATAATAACATGAACATTACAATACAGTAAAAGCTCATTTAACTGGAAAGCTCAGAAAATGCTGATGTCTGGATGCATGAAAATTCCAAATAGTTGAGTATATAAATAATTAAATTCATGTTAGTAAAGCCAATTGAATGGAAAACATTTAAAAACAGTCATCTTTTCGGTTGCCAGTTTGAACACTAAAGCCTGCATTTAAAATTCTATAAGATTTTGAAAAAAATTGCCCTTCAGACTTAAAAGCTGATGTATGTCATAGGTCTTAAAGATGAAAGTAAAACATCTGATCTGAATATAAAATCTTGACCAACATGAAAGTTAGCAGAAATGTTACCAATCATTTTGATAGAAGTTTAAACAATTTCATTCTTTATTTATTTAGGCAGTAAACTGATGCAAATTATGAATATATAGCAAAGCATGTAAAAAAAATTTTAATTGTGTACTGTGAAAATCATAATATTTGACTGCACATCACCTGTAGTGTTTTGCCGACAGTGTAAGTAACATAATGGCATTTTAGATCTCTGATTTATTAAATTTTTCAGAGGAAAAATATTCTTCAAAATTTCTAAAATATTCTGGTTACTTGAGCTTTGTGGTTAGTGATTTGTGAATGCTGAATAGAAAGATATTTACTTGTATCTTCATTTCTATTTCCATGTAACTTAAAACTCTCTGGTTCTTATTGTTGTCTCTGCTATCCTTTAGGCCTTAAATCATCCATTAATAATTAAAGGTGATTGTGCAGCTGACTCAGCAAAATCATAGACTGAATATCAATTCATGTTTGCTTCATTATGATTAATCTGAAATTTCTGTACGATTCAGAATGAAAGGGAAAAAAAGCATTAATTGACTGGTGTGTAAATAGATTTACTTAGTAGTCATTATCAGTGACCTTGTTTGTACAAAGGAAATGCGTATGTTCGAATGTAAAGATTATTCAGGTGGCTTTAAATGGGTTTGTTGCATTGAATGATTGGTCAATTCTCAGATTAGGCTGGCATTAATAGTGAGAAAGAAAAGGTTCGGTGTGACTTTAGCATGTAGTTTAAGAAGAAAACAGCAACTTATATGGATGAATCTATTTTAAAATTTAAAGGGAGTTTGTTCTCCAAACTAGTTGAGGAAGGGGAAAATTACACGAATATTTTTAAAATTTTCAGTCCTAAAAGCTGAGGGGGATGCACAAGGAAATATAATGAGTACCATTTTTAATTACATGTACATAATTTATTTTTAAAATTTATTTTGTCTTTTCAGCCACCCAAATTTTATTCTTTATTTTGCCATAATTTCTTATTTAATTAAGTCTTTACTCAAGTAAAGCGGATTCTGGGATTTTGAATAAAACAGTTTTGAGAAAAAGCTTTTGTTGTAAGTGTCCAAAGATTGTTGATATGATTAGAGATTTTGAAAACACAAAAATTACCTAAGATATTTAAAATTAGGCAAAAAAAGTAATTTTAGATTGATGTAGAGTTCAGTCTCTTGATTTTGAGGGTGACTGAACATTTTGAGATCCTTGTTTTTCAAAAACAGAAAACATTTTGCTGTAGAAAAATCTTTGTTTGGCTTCCCTTAAAATCTATGTTAGTCTAAGATTTTGTTTTTTTGCCTTAATTTTAAATTTTGCATTGGCTTCTTTCTCTTCCAATTAGACCCAAGATATTACTGAAGTGGGAGAGAAGAATATGATATGATAGTACAGATACAGCAAAAGTGAAGTAAGCAGTCAAGAAAATGATGATGATGATAATTAAATAGCAAATTATTTTGTCTGAAGAGCTAACAGAACCAAACTGAAGGAGGGCAAAAGTGTTCCATTGAAAGCAGTAAATACCAGAGCTCATAACATTGTTATTTCATGGTGTTAAAAGATTGATATAACTTAATATTTATCTTCTAGAATATTTAAATGACCCATTGCTGTTTTGTTACATCATGCAATTGAGGAATTCCTAGAATAAGTATTAATAAGAATAATATAGGAATTGCATGTCTAATACAGATATATCCATTGTTGTAATGGTATATATAAAATTGTTTATTTCTAAGGAATTAATTTTGTTCATATAAAATGCAATGAATCCTTTTTTAAGGCAGCCGTCTATGTTTCCAGATGATTTTGGGTTTTTGTAGAGATAATGTTCAGTATTAGTATTAATTTAACAGTAATACTGAACATTACCTTTTCAGAAAATATTAGGTCCTTCAGATTGGTTGCCACGAGAGAGTTCATATAATTTTCTTTTTATTTGTTGACCAGATATTATTAAGTAAAAAAAAATAATTGTTCTAAATGTTTAAAAATGCAAGAATTCATTAAAAAACTGCCCTTGTAACTATGTTATGAGAAGTTGTATATAAATTCAGACCAATGAAATGTTAAAAAGAAACCCAGTTCTAAACATTTTGCTTCTAAATTTCCACATAGCTGATTCCACAAATAAAAATTTGTTATTAAAATTTCATTACAATGAACTTTTGTATAGCAACCACTTGTCTAAAACAACTACATCTGAAAGTGACTAGTATATCTGAGAAAATAAACAAACATTAATATTGAGCATCATCTAATATGGATCACCTCCACAGAAGATCAAAGGTCATCTGAGATCATATATAATTATTTTAAATAAAGTTTATTGTATATGGAAGTATTTTAAAAGTTTCTTCATTATATTGTGGTATATTTATTTTAGTATATATTATGGTGTAATAAAGGTACTCATGTTCATGGACCTAATCTGCTGTGATAAATCTTCATATTAGGTAAAGCAACTAATGAGGAGCTTGTGGATGATACTTCCACATCAAAAGTTTCAACTGAATCGACACATTTCAGTTGTGGATCTCATTTCTACGAAGAAGTAGAAGATACAAAAGATAGTGCTTGGTTAGTGCAAGTAATAATGAGCGATGATGACCCACCTTTGCTTTCGGAGAATACGTGGAAGCAAATATTTTCTTATGTTAGTAATTTTGGTGTGAGAACAGGAATATTCAGATGTTCTCTGGATAGCAGGTATTTAATGTATTCATTTTCTCAAATTTCAATTCTGAGTATTTTGAATAAAGTGTGGAATCTATTCTTTAAAATTTTGATGCATTTACTTGTACCTTAAAAGTATTTTATTAATGATTTAATATATAGATTTAATATTTAAAATAATTCATATAAAAACTAGATTAGCATGTGTGGTTTGTACTAAATTTTTATATCCTTAATCTCCAAGTCATAAAATAAATTTTTTTTTCTAAGTAAAATTAGTACTTCCTGATTTATCTGCACCCCGGGTCCAAAAAGTCATCACTGAGTTAGTAATTAATTATTCACCTGGCTAATATGCAGAAAGCAGCAGTCAGTTTGAAAATAATGGCACACAAAGAATTCCATTAAAGAGCAATTAAAAGCACAAGAAACATTGTTATAAAACACTTAGTTTTACAAAAAAATCATTATTTAATTTTTTTGCCACTGTTATTCTTTCTATTTACACAACAAACTGTTTTAGCTGATTAAAAAAGAGAGAAGCACAAATTTTAATCCATATAAAATTAATAAAATTAGATCATTTATGAAGTACTACTTCATCAAATGCAAATTTTTGCATTCTGTACTGCTGTGCAAGACGTCATATTCCTGAAGAAATGCGGTGTTTTCTTTTTTCATCAGCTAGCAAACTCCACAGTCCAGTTAATAATTCCCTACTGGGGGGAATGCACTCACTGAAGCAAAAATAAACACTAATGATTGTAGAATTTGAAGGCAGACATGCTGGTTCATCTGTTGTGCGCTGCGTAACTGAATTACCACATAAACACATTTTGGCAAGGTCAAGGGTTGCCTAATTTGCAATATATTGTGAATGTTCTTCAAGCAGTTGCAGATAATCTTAAAGCATTGTAATATTTTTCATATTTGATAAATTGCTTTCATTGATAGAATGTGAAGATGTTATTGGAAGAATTAACACTACCTTTTACTTAGCTACATCATATGCTTAAATTAATTTATATTTCAGGTGTCCTCCATTTTACTAATATATAATTATCCTTTGAGAAATTTTATAGTCAAAACTGGTGCAAGGCAAAGAAATAATTTTCTCTAATTTATCTGTAAAGATATTTTAAAGAATTCACTGGTCTCCAAAAAAGCTTTCAAATAATATATAAAACAATTCTTAAAATGTAAAATCCCAGTGAAGGGAAAAAGGTGTGATAAGTATGTATAAGTGTAAATAGAAGTAGTATATATATATATATTATATATATATATATATATATATATATAATAAAGAATGTCATGGTAAATATGCAGTCTGTGTAAATAGACATATATAAAGACATAAATATAAAATACATCTACACTGGTTATCATAAATTAAGGAAAAATCATGATTACTGAAAAAGTTACATGTAGAATTTAATGAAACTTACACACAATATACAACACATAGTAAGGTATCAAATAACATAAAAAGAAATTACCATACAAATATGGTAGTATAGAAACTAGCACATGTATAAAATGAACAAATCGAAGGTGTCACTTTGTTATAGGAAAAGTACCTTCGATATGGAATATGATCGCCTCTAGAAGCAATACAGCGATGTGTGATGCTTTCAATTATGCGGTCTATCAGTTCCATAGGAAGCGAGAGCCATTGCTCTTGCAAAGCAGTTGCAAGCACGACAAGGGTTTGAGGGGGGGCGGATTGATTGAGAGCAGCTAGACGTCTCCCTAAAGCATCCCAAACGTGCTCGATGGGATTACAAGTTCGGGGATCGAGCTGGCCAACTCCATGATCATAATTCTTTTCCTGGTTGAAGATAATCATCTACGATGTGAGCCCTGTGTAGTCTTGCATTGTCGTCCTGTAACAGGAAAACATCACCTATTGCCCCGGCATATGGGCGCACATAAACATCAAGGATGTCATCTCTATAAATCTGAGCATTCACGGTTCCCGTTGGAAAGACATGGAGGTCTGTGAGCCCATTCAAAGAGATGCCACCCCAAACACAGCCATTGCCCCTTCCGTATGCATCTCTTTCACAGATGTTTGATGGATGATAACGGGTTCTAGGTTCTCTCCATATCAAATAACGCCTACTATCGCTTTCTAGACTAAACCTGGAGTCATCCATAAAGAGAACCGCCCTCTATTGATCAGGCGTCCAGTGGACATTTGTCGTGCCCACTGAAAACGGTCTCTCCTATGGCGTGACGTGAGCGGCACACAAATGGCTAGTTGCCTCGCATACAGACCACCTTCGTGAAGTCTTCTACGCACAGTTGACGTTGACACGAACCTTCCGGTGGCTGCAGCAAGGAAGATCTAAGAAGAGTCGAAGTAGCAGTTCTATTCCCTGCGTGCACATAATGTGAAATATCGGTCGTCGACTCTCATCCTAGCAGTTGGCTGTCCTTAGCTGAACCTCCTAGATGCCGAATCTGTGGTTTGAAATTGCCTCTAAAGTCTATGAACCACAGAAGGACTCACATTTAGCCATCTGGCCACTTCTGTTTGACTTTGTCCTGCCTCTAGTCTTCCAATGGCTCTCCATCGCAGTTCTGCAGGCAAATGATGCCTGGAGGTCATTGTTACGAATTGGCTATCTCATATTTCTGATGTCACTGTCACAGTGAAATATGTGGGCTTGCTCTCAAACATGGACTTTTATGCTCCTTGCAGATGACGTATTCCGAAAGCAGCGCTACTAATTTGCATATCACACTTTTACTCAGCTACTCTTATTTGGCAACATATTCAAATTTGACACAGTGTGGCTTAAATTTGAGGGAGTTATCACTATTTTTGTGATTTTTCCTTAATTTATGATAACCAGTGTACAATGTAAAATTTTGTCTGCTCAAATCAAAAGGATTGCAAGCACTCCAAGTTAAAAGTGTTACTAGTAATGTATATTGAGCCAATAGAGATTCAGGAGTGGGAGAAAGTTCAAGCAGGCAAGCGGTAAAATCGCTTTGTAAGGATTATGTTAATTTTATTAACAGTTAAATTTTAAGTTCCTTTCCTGTCAAATTCTTAACTTCAGCTTACTACTTCAGGCCAGAACGTAATTTTGGAATCACGTCTGAATACATAATGAGGAAGAGTGGTATTTAACAGCGAAGTTCTACTTGCTGACTTAGAGAGAATCAGAGTTTTCTGATTAGTGCGCTTCCATCTTTTTGCCTACTCTCTCTCAAAAGTGTTATTAAGCTCGACCATATTCAGGCCCTTGATAGCTTCGCAGTCAATTAGCTTTAAGGGGATAACTTGGTTAGAATCTTGATAGTTTCGACTATATCTCTTAAGTTTAGATTAGTTTTAGTTTACTTCTTAACCTCTTAAGTTCAAGCCCAAGTGTTGGCTTTTATTGTAAACTCCAAGACGGAGTTCTGTTAAATCTTATATGAATAATGAAGGGTTATTTACCCTTCCATCTTGATGTTTCTTGTTGCACGAACTCAAGCGATTATTCGCTTACTTGTTCTTAAGATTCTTCATGTTCAACTGTAACGTGGCATTTACAAAGTGAGGAACCCTATAGCTTAATAGTGGTAGTTCAAACTGAAATCAAATCCCAGTGAACAGACTGGCTGCAGGGTTGATTTTCATCATTTTCCATTTGTGTGATGTGGATACGAGCCAGTTTGCATAAAAAAGTCTTGTTCAGAGATATCACTACCTATAGGGCAGGTAGCCCTTCAGTTGCTTTGCCTTAATTAGTTAATCAGAAATGGAGATTCCTGGCCTGTGGTGTAAGAGAGGATAAATGAAAATCATCTCTTAATACCTATTTTTTTATTACATTTAACACTTATACAGTTTCTATCCTTTTCTTTTTCATTGCCGACAGGTGAAGTTTATTATGTGCTCATGCTAATATGAAGAACCTGATGTAAAACTGTGTATTTGATTGTTAAGGCTGATAGTAATGATACGATGAAAGCAATCAATTTCTCCTTTTTCATCTCCTTTTCAGTTTCTCCCTTTTAATATAATTTAAATGACCAAGATTTCAAGCAGTTGATAGTTGCTGAGAGATATCAGAACTACAGAAAATATGGAAGAATTAACTTTGTCTGAATAACTGCCTAAATTGTGAAGTAAAAGTAAAATATAATAAAAAAAGAAAATAAAAGGTTTCAGGTTTTAAATTATGTCCAAAGGGGCATTTTTTAACATTTTGTGTGTTATTTTTATTTAATAAAGATCATGTTCTTTGCACTTAAACAAACCATAAATTGCAGTTCAACAGCAATATCGCAAAATAATTAAAATTTCCGATAAAGAGTTTCGCTTGCTGGAATCTGCATTAATTTTATGTATGTTTCTCACATTGTGATAAAACAATGGCTTGGAATTTATTTTATTAGCTATATCATATTTTGTAAAACTTTAACAAAGTTTTTATTTTGAAATCGACGATTTCAATGCGAGCAATGGCAAACACTGTACGGGGGGAAAAAATTTTTATCTTCAGTGCGTGTGACAGTGTATTGGAAATTGTAAGGATATGCTCATTTAAAAATTATTTTGTGATATTGCTATTGAACTGAATTTTATGGTTTAAATGCAAAACACGATATTTAATACATAAAGGTAATACACAAAAACGTTAAAAAAAAATATTTGGGTATAATTTGGGCTGAAGGCTTTCAGATTTTTTTTTTTTAATATTTTCTTCTTATTACAAGTATATTCTATATATTATACAGTACAAAGTTTGAAATCCGGACATCTATTAACCGGAATGATCTAAAATCCAGACCTCAAAACAACCAACAACGTTTTCCTCGTAGGCTGTGTGCATTGCACATTTGATTCCCCCCTTGATATAATTTCTACATGCCATCTTACTAGATTTTAACTGATGATCTAATATCCAGAAAAATCCGGAATTGCCGAAGTCTCGACGAGTCTGGATTTCTGACTTTGTACTGTATTACTATATGTTTTTTATCATGCCTTGGGTGCCAAACGCCACTAGGTTGCAGGTAATCAGAAAATACCTTGATTTTTTCCCCCTTTCCATGATGAGAAATTTCATATTGAAGTTATTCCATTATAAGAAAAATAAAAAAACAATAAATTCTCTTTAAGTGCAGATTTTTTTTTTTTTTCCCCCTAGATTATGCTCTCGTAAAGGATGGATTTCACCCAGACTTATACTAGCTTTGCCAAAAGGATATAAAGCAAAAGAAGATGTCATTTTTCATAATTATCTGCAACATACTACAGCAACTTCTGTTCTTCAGTGGGTGCGGAAGCACTTAGCATCTCGTGTTAAAGAGATCACATCTGAAAAAGAAATAGAGAACTGGATGAAATATTCTGATGCCACAAAAAATTCAGAAATAAGGCTAATATTTTTCTCTATTTTGAAGTCTTGTCCAATGTTTTTGTCTTCTCTTGCTATCAAGTTTAATGGACGTGTAAAATTTGGTACAGTTGACACTTCCAAAGTTAGTTCGTACAAAAAATTTACAGCTTCTCATAATCTTCCTGTGTATTTAGTGATTACTCCTGAAAAGACTTATGTATATGGTTCTCGACATGGTGAATGTTACAACTTCAAAAGCATGGAATTGTTTTTAAGAACTTTTGTGCCTGAAGTTAATGATGTTTTTCTGTGGTCATTATTGTTAATCAATGCCCTTGCTAGTTTTGAATTATTTTTCATGTACAGCCAAGTTTGGAAGCATTTTTTGTTATATGTTGTGTGCATTGTGAAATATAATTGTTTATTATTCCTGTTCTGGTTGACGATTTTAGCTCTCTATCAGTTTCCATTTACGTTGACTTGCACACATGTGTTATTAAAATTTTTAAGAATTGTTAGTGGTTCATATATAGCTACAGTTTTACGAAGTGATTATAAAAACTTCTACTCCTATACCTTTCTGTTAGTTACCTTTGTTATGTTTGCGAGCATTGCCGGCTTTCTGTTGAGAAAATTTAACTGGATTGCAGAAGATAATAGTGCTTTCTTTTCTAATTGGTGGTTTGTTCCAAGAGAAGGTTTTCCAATGACATATTTCTTTCGACCAATGGCCACTTTGACAAGACCACTTACTTCTCAAGATATGGATTTAGAGGTTGGTATGGAGCTTTTAATTGAAAGGCTTGCTGTACCTAATCTGTGGCTGCAACCTGTGATATCAATGGACTATATAAAAGATTTACCTGTCTGGAAATATCAAGGTTGGTGTGAAGCTGATGATGCTTATGAAGATAATAAAGGAGAAATTTTATGTTCTAGTGATGATGAAAGTGCCAATTTGATTACCTTTAAACCAGTTGATCAAACTTTAGTGCCTAAATCTCAAACTTCATCATGTGACAATCTATATTCAGAATTAAATTATGCTGCAATGAGAACAAATGCAGTAGCTAGTCAAGAAAAGTACAACCAAATGAATGGTGAAAATATGGCACACTTGCAACGTTCTAATTCCTCATTACTATCTTCCTCCAGCCTTTATGCGCCAAAAATAACTGAAAAGTCATGCTCTAAATTGTCTGATGCGGACAGAGCTCCAAAAGGGATGCTGGAATTCCGAGAATGTTCAATATGTTTGGAGAGTTACCGATATGGTGAAATCCTTTGTGGTCTTCCCTGTGGTCACAATTTTCACATGAACTGTATAATGTCTTGGTTGTCACGTGATAACCACTGTTGTCCCATTTGCCGGTGGCCTTCTTACAAAGCTAAAAATCGTATGCCTCACTCACATTTTCAATAACTAAACTAGAATATGTATTAAGTTGAATGTCACCTCTTGTCTATTTTGAAATATATTCAGAATATTTTTACAAATAATTATGATATTAGTAATGTATAAACATCTTGTGAAAGTCTTTTTTGTATAATTGAATTAGATTCTTATGACAAGTTATCAGACTGTTTGTTTTTACATGTAATAAATATTACAGACTTCCAAATCATTTAAGACTATTTTTGTTAATAGCATTCATATATTCTATTTTATTATCTGTTTAAAGAAATATATATGAATTAAATGAAAGAAAGTAATATTGTGCATAATTGAATAATTGGTATTTTTCTGCTAAAGCCATAGCATGCATTTTCAGTGCATCATTTCAGCCATAGCATGCATTTTCATGCATCTGTGCATTTCGATTCATTTTTTCCCTTATGCCTTTGTCTTAATACTAGATGTTTTTGGCTCTTCTTTTTTTTTTTTTTTTATTCAAATTCTTTGCCTTTTTAAAATTTTTATTGGTTATTTCACCTCCTGCCTTGGTATCTTTTCATTTTATGCCTGAAATCTTCTTCAAAAAAGGAGAAACAGGCATTAAAAACAAATACAGAAAAAATGGTATTAATATTTATTGCTTCTTAAATGACTAAATGAAATATTCAAAACAAATAAAAAATGACAGTAATTAATGAACATTGCACTAAAAAAGAACCATGTAAGATAAGAAGCTGGTATAATGTTAAAAATGAGAAACAAATTATTATGCGAACGACATTTATAAAGACAGTTATCATCAGGAAGCAAACCAAAGTAACAGTGCCTTGGTACAGGCAAATGATATGGCTTTGATGGAAAATTGCCAAATAATCTGACGGAGTGCGAGACAATCTTTATTCACCATTGTTTTTTAAGTTCAAACAGAAATTTTAAATGGTTTAATTAAAATTATAACATAATAAGTATTTAGAAAGAAATTGGTTGCATTAAATATGTTATGCTATATAATATATATTCTTTAATTATTTATGATTTCTTTTCCCAAATATTAGTTATTTTTGCATTATCATTAATTACAAAATCTACTTTGAAAAATTAATGTATTTGTTAGCATTTCTTTTCTACGTATTAAAAACAATCACATAGATAAATGTTAGAATTATTTTAATATACAGTGGATTGTTGTTAGTTTGAACTTCAACAACTAGTAAAGCTGTTTGAATTAGTGAAAGCATTCCTGAATTCATTTCTTGTTAACTGAAATATTTGGAACTGTGGCCTTTGTTCAAACCTACCAAAATTTTGAAGTATTATCTTTCAATTCCTTGCTGGCATTATTTTTGTGGACTTACTGAGCATGATACCATTAAGAGTAATTACATGAAAACATCGAATAATTCTAAAAATTGCATTATATATATTAATTATAAGTTTGCATTGCTTATTTGCAGTCTTTCATATTCTACATTTGGTCAAGTTTGTGCTACAAAGTGACCTGAAATCAAAATTTTTATGTTGAAGGACTAACAGAATCTTTATAATTGAAATTTTTCTTAATTTCAACTCATTGAGAAATGCTAATAATTTTTCTACTGTATTACTGCCATTGCATTATTACCTTCCTTCTACCAAATAGTGTGAGAGATATGGGTTTTGTTAAATCCCCCCCCCCAATTTCCTAACCTAAATTTTCGATAATTTAAACTGGTCGTGATAACCATAATGGCCAGTTAAAATTAACGAGTTTTTCCTCGTATTAAATAATGCCTGCTGCATTATATTGTTGCGTGTGTACAGGTCCGTAATAGGTTGAATGCACAAGTCTTAATAAAAGTTAGTAAAAATTATTCTTATCACAAGAAATAAAACAAAATACTGAAATCTTTCCTCACAGATATTCATACAATATTACACGATAATTATATTTTAAACTACTAAAACGTTAAATAGAACACAATTCAAAGCACAGAGAAAGCTAATCTGATCTCGCCACAAATTTGCTACAGTCAACAACAAATAAGTAAGCAACTGAGAAACGTGAAGCTTCTGGTATTTTCTGGAGGTTTTTGGAAAGCAAAAGAGTAGAATTGCAGTTACAGCCAAGGCACAATTGCATTTATTCAGTTTAAATATAAATTACGAGATATCTATTTATTAAATGCACATGCTCCTGTATTTTTACTTTTTTAGCATAGCTTTCTCTTAAAACTCATTGCACCGAAAATGAAACAATTTTAATTACAATTTACTAAAAATAGTAAGCTAAATACAAAAGCTATAACAATATTAATATAGATACTGGGCTGATTAACAAATAGTAAATAAAATGTATTTAAAAAAATTCGCTGGGGAAGGATTTCAAGGTTTTTTAAATTTGGTTTATGAAAATTTTGTAAATAAAGGTTGAATATGAAGCTATTTCAATAGGATTTTCAATTAGAATTTACATATATGAATTTAATTACATAAATAAATTTAGAATAGTAAGAGCAACAAAACTAAAATCTTGTGTGTTTTATTTTAACAAACTAGATGTATCAATAACCAAAATCATGTTTATATTATTCATATGATACAGTGCATTTATTATACTATTTATTAAATGATAAAATTGTTTTAAAAATTGGTTCATAATTACAAAAATAGAAAGATTCATTTAATAACATTATAAGGTATTTCTCCCACTTCCCTAGCGAACCTTCGTCGTGTTATGGTTCTGCACATTGGGCCGGTATTCCAGAGGTCCGTGGTTCGATTCCCGGCAAAGGCAGTTGCATATTTTTCGTCTTTCCTGTTTCCAATTAGCCTAATGACTCTACAACATAAATATTTTAATAGCTGTAGTTAATAATCTTAACTTAAAATGTATAATTTAGCATAATATGGAAGAGATTTAATGTGGAATACATTTAAATTCTTGATCGGTCAGATAAAACTTGAAGAATAATGTAAGTTCAAGATTCGATGTGATTATGGTACAAAAAATCTGAAAATTATAATTAATTGAAAAAGCATCCTGTTTTTCTTACAGGTTATTGCCGAAATTTTATTATGAAATCTTAAAGGGTTTTTTTCCCCCGGGGGGGGGGGTAAGTAAATTTTAACGCAGTAGATTATTTTCAAAATTTAGAAATAAGTAAAATGTTTTTAATTACTTGGATTTTGCTTATATAAGTTTATATATATATTATGCTTATATATTTATTGTAAGCTATCTTATTTTTCTAAAGTACATCCGGTGAAATATTTTACACTAAAATTTTAATTTTCTTATAATTATGGAATACTTTCACTACCAAAAATAAATACTGTTCAATATAAATTGCATTATCAGATATATTCTTCAAATAATAGTGAAACGAAGTTCAGCTTATATTTCAGATTATCTGAATTAATATGCTGTTAAATATCCTATATACAAAACAGTTAATCAGCATCATATTAATTATGTTTACTTAAATTTCGTATTTCTGCCCTTTCCTTTAATTGAGCTTGAACTTGCACTATGTAAAACAACTACAGATTCAAAAGGGGCAACTTATTATGAAACCTGTTATTAGTATTTTCAGTTCGAGGTAATTTATGATTATTTTTAACATCTTCTTCCCATTTGTTATTTCCTATGAATGAGAAGTAGAAAAATATCTATTTTTTAATATGTTTAATTAATTTAGTAAATGAATCTGAAAAAAATGTCATGTCCACCAGCAGCCAAGCAGTAAAGACACTGAACACTGGCAGTTAAGTCTGAGGTTCGAATTCCGTGAATGGGCTGGCTGTATGGATTTTTTCATGGCTTTCACCATGTATTTATGAGCCAGTTTCTCTTAGAAAGTCCTTCACAATAGCAATCCTCCCCTTAAGCAGATATCCCTTCAGTACTTTGCCATAAACCAGGGTTTCTTAAACATTTTTCATTTGCGACCCCTTTTTATCACAGATTTTTTTCCCGACCCCCCAGGACCCCATAATAACGAAAATTTTGTGGAATCCCATAAGCATTGCACAAATCTGACATACGCGTGTGAAACTGTCAGTTTTTTAACTTGCACTGTAATATACTATTGCAGTTTTAGGTCATTAACTTTAATTTCTAATTTCAAGACACAGAACAATGTGAAAATTTTAAATAAGTAACAGACGAAATGACAGTGTCACATGCAAACCAAGTAAAATGAACGTTTCTGTTATAAAAAGAATGCGTCAGAATGTTTTCCTTTCTTCTTTGTCTGTATTTTCAAATCTTTATCTATTTTCAGATACATTGTGTAAAAATATTTCGGAATTATAAAATTATTATAATACCTTAAAGAAATATCAAAACTGGTAAATTTTTTGGCGACCCCCTGCTGCAGGTCCCGCGACCTCCCTGTGGGTTGGGACCCACAGTTTAAATCTGTGGTTTTTCAACCTTTATTGGTCTTCCCCTCTTCTTATCATTCAGAATATCATTAGCCCCTTTATATTTTTATACCATCTATGGAAATGACCAGTCATTTTTTTAAAATTTAAATAAATATCAGTATTGAACATCGACTTCTTCTCTTCTGTGAAGATTAAAAGTTATCTCAAATCAGAAGTCTCTCATAAATGAACAATCAAACGGTTTCAGTTTATCAAACGTTCACGTTTGTTGTGTTATTTTTGTAACAAAATTACCACTAAAGCATGGAATATGGAAAACTTGTATACAAAACAATATTATCCTTAATTATGTGGAAGATTATGTAGTTCCTAAGCCGTTTGTTGGAATCCACGCTAAGGATGTTAGACTATTTTCACGAACTGTATCAGCTCAGTTGAGTACACTGAGGTAATCTGCTTTGGAAACAGTACTCATTTTAGTTTTCTGACCATCATCTAAAGAACCTGTATTTAGATGTTCTGTGGCAAGATATACTGTGTGTTCTTGGGCAAGATATCCTTTGCAAACAATTCTCACTTTAATTTTTTTTTAAATCATGTGAATAACTTTGCAATATTTCCAGGAAAAAATCCATTTGACTGTGTGCACTGATTCAAAGATCTGCTATGCAAATAGTTCTAAATTAAGTTTTCTCATCATCATTCAAACATTAGATTATTTCCAGAAAGATGGTCTCTTTGACATGAACACTAGACTAAAGATCTGTTTTGCAAATAGAGCAATGGGTTATTTCCAGGAATAAGGTCTCTTTAGCTATGTGCATAGGCAAAAAGCTCTGCTTTCCAAACGGATATGTGTTA